ATAAATTACATTACCAAACAATCTTATTACAAAACCAGTTGTAGACTTTCTATCTAAATGATCACCTGCCCAATCGGCATCCACATAACAATCAATAATACTTACTTTTTCATTTCTGTTATAAAACAATTTTAAATCTTTAGTTAAGCATAAATATTTCAAAATTCGTACAGCATATTTAAAGTGCGTTTCATTATAGCAATTTTGAAATCTACTCAGATAATTTACGCTGAAACTTATATCAGGCCTTGTTGCCGAACTTATGTATAATAGTGCACCAATTAAATTTTTATATTTAATATTTCTTTCACAATGATCAGATTTATCAATTTTTAAATTTACTTCCATAGGTGTATTATACAGTTTACCTTTTTCTAAATTATATTTTTTCCTTAATAATTCAATATATTTATTTTGATCCAATCTCATTTCATGTTTACTAGAATCATAATCAACAGTAATACCAAGATATTCTTTAATTTCACCAATATCTTTCATTTTAAATTTTTCTGATAATAAAATTTTAATCCTTTTAATTTCATTTAAATTTCTACCACAAATCAATAAATCATCGACATAAATTAATAAGTAAATAATATCATTTCCAATTTTATAAACGTACAAACAAGGATCAATATTACTTCTTTCAAAACCTAAATTTATCAAAAATGTATCTAGGCACTCATACCATGCCCTTGGACTTTCTTTTAAACCATATAAAGCTTTAACTAATTTACAAACTTTACTTGTTCCATCTTCATAACCCTTAGGTTGTTTAATATAAACTTCAGAAATTACTTTACCATTTAAAAAGGCTGTTTCAACATCCATTTGTTCAATTACTAGGCCCATTTGACAACAATATGACAATAAAATCTTTAATGTTTGCATTTTAGCCACAGGTGAATAAATATCATCAATTTCATCAGTTTGTTGAAAACCTCGTACAACCAATCTAGCTTTATAAGTATTATCAGACTTTTTAGTATAAACCCATTTAACATCCAGAATATTTTTGTTTGTATCATTTTTAACCAATTTCCAAGTTTTACTTTTATTTAAACTATCAATTTCTTTGTCCATAGCTGTTTTCCAATACTTACTTTCATTAGAATTTATCGCCTCCTCAAATGTATGTGGTATATCAGTTCTACACATATTTACAAAAATACTACTATTATATACATAGTAGTCATCAAATTTCTTTGGAGGATTTTTGGCTCTGTGAGATCTAGGTAACTCAGGTTCATTTTTATTCACACTATCATCCATACTTTCATTTGTACTTTCAAAAGTTTCATCTATTGAGTCATTTTCAGAGCTTTCATCAATTTTATCAGGGTAACACTCTTCATTATTATCATTATCTGATTCATTAAAGTCTAAACCTATACACTTAACGTTTTCTTCAACAATATCCACGTGTCTAGCAACAATGACTCTGCCATTTAATAATACACGATAACCAACATTACTATAACCAATTAAAATTCCCATATCAGCTTTCTTATCCCATTTAGAGATTCTCTTCTGTTCTGGTCTTCGTACAAAAACTTTACTTCCATACAAACGCAAATTAGAAACATCAGGTTTCTGTCCAAAAAATATTTCATATGGAGTTTTCTTTTCAATTGTATCAGATAAAGTACGATTTTTCAAATAAACCGCAGCACAAACTATTTCAGGCCAATATTTTTTATGAATATCTGCTTCAGCCAACAAACATCTTGACATATCCATTATAGTTCGATTAAACCGTTCTGCAGTCCCATTCAATTCATGTACATATGTAGGACAATTATCAATTACTATACCCCTTTCTTTTGCAAATCTGTAGACTTTACTGTTCAAATATTCTTTCCCATTATCACATCTTAAAATCTTTATTTTCTTTCCAGTCAAATTTTCACTTTCATTCGTATATTCATTCAAACAATCACATACTTCTGCTTTTGATTTTATAGCATATACTTTAGAAATCTTACTATAATCATCAATGAAAGAAACAAAATAATTTTCACCTTTAAACCCAGTAGTTCGAAAAGGCCCACAAACATCAGTATGTACAATCTCTAAAATATCTTTAGCTTTTTTTCTACTGTTTACAAACGGAATATTATGCATTTTACTTTCAATACAAATCTTACATTTCATAAATTCAGATTCAAACTCATTAGGAATTCCATTCAACAGCTGATCTTTAGATAAAATATTCAAATATTTAAAATTTACATGACCTAATAAACGATGCCATTTTTCCTTTTGATTCATATTATTCATATCTTTATTTGCAACATTTACATGCAATTCAACTGATTTTAATTTACTTTTCATAATATATAAGCCATTATTTTTTAAAGCAACTGCTGTTATATTACCAAGTTTATCAAAAACTTTTGAAATATTACCTAGAGAAATAATCTTATTATTTTCTGTTATTTTGCTATAACTTATCAAATTTGATTTCATATCTTTAACATAGAAAACATTTTGCATATCTACTAAACTCTTTTTACCAAAAGCATCAAAGTAACTTAAAACATTTCCAATTTTAGTAGCTTTTACAACCCTATTATCTCCTAAATAAACATTAATGGGATCTTTAAGTAATTTACATTTATCAAATAATTTTTCATCATTAATAATGTGGTCTGTACAACCACTATCTAAAAGCCATTTTATTTCAATACAATTATTTACATTACCTATTTCAGTATTTTGTGCAATAACTGACATATCCTTACCAAGAGCTACTGTTGTAAGCCAAGAAGCACTGTTTCGCTCTTCGTTCTTCTGTCCTTGTCGGTTGAACCGCTGTGCACTTGTTCCATGCGTTCCGCGCTGTCCACGTGAGTGGCCACGTCCTCTGACGTAGCTTCCTCTTCCGGCTTCTTGTCGACCTCGCGTTTCTCTCCACCAGCCTCTACTGCTTGTCGTTTGTCCGCCATTACCCGACGCTTGATTGGCGCCATTTTTGCAATCTCGCTTGAAATGACCAACTTCGCCACACTGGAAGCATGATCGATCCTGTCGACCTTTATTTACCACAAATGTACTGGATTTTCTTCCAAAATCATTGTTTTGATTTTTTAATTCGGACATCATAACCTTAGTTTTTACGTAGTCTGCAGTTTGATCATCTTCTTTTAATGTATCTATTAAATCACCAATATAACTGTACGACTCTGGCAACGTGTTTAACATATAGTTCAATTTTTCCTTTTCAGACACACTAGCACCCGCGCTTTTTAACTCGTTTATAGCTTTTTCGAAGTCACTAAAAAATGTTGCACAGTCTCCATAGTTGTTCAATTTTAATCTTTCCAAGTTATTTCTACATACTATCTGCAATGCCGTTGATTCTTTCAAATATAAATTATCAAATTTCTTTATCATCTCATACGCCGTAGTTTTTTCGTCGATGTACTCCATCTGTCGATCCGATATTGCACCGCATATATAATTCATTGCTTTTACATCATCGTCATCCCAATTTGTATCATCATTTTCATTTTTCGGTCTGGTTACCACAACATCACACTTCTTCATTTTCAAAAATAGCATAAGACGTTTTTTCCACATTTTATAATTCTCCCCATCGAATATAGGTATTCTAAAATCACTACTACCTGCCATCATGTGTCACACTTTTTTTTTCAAACTGCACCAAACTTTTTCTGTTGTAAAAGGTACGACTTTCCAACCACGGACCTCTGCTACCATGTTAAGGTGTGGATTTGGAAAATAAATAGTCGTACTTTACTACTATTATAAAAGGCTTTATTTCCTATAACATACATACTAATTAACTAACCTAACTTAAGCCACCATACTTCTTACTACTACCTACAACTACATGATACTCATTGACATTACTATTATTGTCTGTCATGTCAACCCATGACACTATGGGTGCGTTCCGCTTACTCTTACACCAATATATCTGTGTATACAATATAAATGTATTACATTCTCAACAACAAACATGGTTTAAAACTATTCTAAAACATCTTTTTAAATGGTTGATTAACAATGTGAGAAATGATAAATAGTCCATTTTCGTAAAAATAAAAAAATGTCGCACTTTTAATATTAAGTGCGTACTCTTATACGCATTTACCCTATTCTGTGACTCAGGTATTCGATTATTTTCCCGTTATTCCTTAAAGAATGTTTGTGCAATGGAAATTTATTTGACATAAAACTACTTGATAATAACTAATATAATATAATGTTAGTTTTTTCTTTTTGTTGAGCAAAAACTGCATCTTGTATAACTTCTTTGAACATCTGGTAAATATGCTGCTACATTTCTCAGCCGAATTGGAAAATTTTACTGGTTTTTGATGTGAAATATCACAGATCGAGATTTATTTATGGTAAATATACCTATGAAGCCGAAGCCTACAATCGTTGTGGGAAGTATTTTATTGATTACATAAAATAAACATGCTTTAATAATATCTACAGTAGAGCCTCGTTTAACCGAAATAAAGGGCGTTTTTTTTCGATTAGTCCATCCTATGACCGTTTAAAAATGGACCACGTAAGGAGTGTTATGCTACGCATGTGCATCTATATTCCTCGGAAGATTTTTCTTCCTTATTTAGGTACCTGGAACTGGATAATTTTGTTCTTTCTATTGTACTGCAAGGATATTCTTGTACCTTTGTGAGGTGTTTTTATATCTTGACGAGCATTTCTGTCAGTTTTAGTCGACTTACCAATACGAAATTTATAATTATTATTATACAGCGGAGACATGACAAAAGCAAAATAAATCCAAAAGTAAATTACCCATGACAAATGTGTGTTGTGTGGAGTAATTCATGGCGAAAAATAAATTTGATGTTGAGTTGACAGACAGAGTGAAATCTGTCAGCATAGATAAATAATATATCTGTCAGTGTCAACGCAACATAAAATAAACATAGAAAGGAGCATTTATTATGGCCATAATATTTCCTGAATTGATTGAATTTGTGTAATGTGTACTAGCCATGGAAGTTAAAGTTGAAATCAAGAAAGAGATTCCTGAACATAATCAAAAATGTATAGAGAGTCATCTAGGGAAATTAGATCTCGAAGACTTAAAGAATGAACCAGAGGAAGATCAATCAGGTGCGATTAGAATAAATAGTAAGCAATGCGGTATAATAATAAAACAATGATAGTAACTTGCTTTAAACTGCTAAATTCTTTAATCAATTCTTGTATTTTTCATTCTATTGTTTCGAAGGTAAGGAATGGTTACTGAATAGGCTCATTATGTATTTTTGTACCAACATTTGCTTTGCTAGTGTTTTAGAAAAAGTGTTTTCTAATTCTAAATAGATCTTGTTCCATGGGTTAATAAAATTATTCAGATTAATATGGTTTGCATTTGCCATTCGTATGGTTTGTGATTTTTCCCGCAGTTTGGACAGATAGTAGATCTTTGGGTTAACTTTAATATTGGTGCAATGAACATAACCTTGATATGTTTGACGTTAAATGTACGTTGCTTCACTATCGTCACATTAAGCACATAGGGATCGAAAGTGGTCTACCCATGTTTCATTCTGAATATGTTTTGTTTTTATTAGTTCGTTCATATCTTTTATTTGTCATCTGATCATTCTCCATATTTTTTTTGTGTTCCTTAGAAGTCATGTTCCATCTGTTTTGAGAAGCTCTGCCAGTTTTCCCTCTTTATTTGTTGTACTAAAGTATTCTTTTCATTTCTGATTCGTTTATAGTGGTTATATGCCTGTTGTGTTATTATGTCCTGTATTGTAAAAAAAAATTTCTTCACAATTTGTCTTCACTTTCTCTCTGAACCATGGAGAGTGCTTACTCATTTTGGGAAATTGTCTTGCAGTCTTTGGCTGGTATAGATGTCTACACTTACACTCCTACTCCTGACTACACTGCCCACTTCTCAGTCACTGGACACTGAGGAAGAGGCAGATTGAGACCTTAAGGCCGTTTGACGGTTCTTGTATTTCTACACAAAAAGATACTGGTAAGTCACGAGTGAGGGGAGTAAGCACATTGAGACCCCAAACTCGAACGGAACCATATTCCTCTTAAGAATATACCCATATGTTGTCATTAGTAGAAAAGTCACCATTTCAACAAACCTCATAATTTTCAAAATAAATTTTAATATTATATCACAATAAATAATATGAGCAATAATTTCATGTATCTATATAAAATGTTTATACAGTGTTTAATCCATTTTTATTTAATTAATTCATAGTTGCGGAAGTAAACATTGAAATTAAGGAAGAGTTTGAGAAAAATGATTATATATATCAGGAGTATCAGCTGCCCACCTCAATAGATCTTGAAAAGTTAAAGATTGAAACAGAACAGAAAGATCACTCAGGTATGGCAAATATTTTAAAAAATTACCCAAAATATGATATAAACTCTTAATTCTGGTATCCTGTAGTGACTTTTATTTAATCTCTTGTTTTCAATAGGGTCTAAGATTATAATATAATAATAGAATATTTGTGTAACAAGCTATTCATTTTGTACTATTATTATAAATCTAATTTATTGTCTTTATTTGTTTTAAAAGGTTCGACACTTTTACAACACTTACAAATTTATTAAAGTCTTTTATTAATACAATATCACACTAATTTATTTTAACATTTATTACAATTTATATTCGATACAATTTTATTTTCGGACTGAAAACTGTTTACAATAAAATTTCTATTTATACTAATCAACCGTTAGACTAGAATTCCGGAGATCCCCTTCGAACAGACTAGAAGGTCACCCGGACTGGTTTTTAGCTAAGGGGAACCCTTGATCGGAATGCTGGTGTATGACCTGGAAAATACTTGAATGTAATAGAATTAGTAATAATATGTTTACAGTTTTATGAGTAATTTATCGTAACAATATTATAAAATATAAGGTTTTTGTACTATATATTTAATCTAATTTTATTTTATTTATTTATAGTTACGGAAGTAAACATTAAAATTAAAGACGAGTTTGAGAAAAATGATCATATATATCAGGAGAAGCAGCTGTCATCAATAGATCTTGAAATGTTAAATATTGAAACAGAAAAAAAACATCACTCAGGTAAGGCAAATATTTTAAAAAATTACTCAAAATATGATATAAACCCTTAGTTCTGGTATACTGTAGTGACTTTTATTTAATCACTAATTTTCAAGAGAGCCTGAATATCGTACTCTTTTTTAAATGTGGTTGATTAATAATATCATCATCATCATCATCAATCAGCCCTAAGTTGTCCATTGTTGAACATAGGCCTCCTCTAGATTTTTCCATCTGCTTCTGTTCTGCGCCTCTGCTATCCAATTGGTCACGACTCTTTTGAGGTCGTTGGTCCATCGCGTTGGGGGTTTTCCTCGGCTTCGCTTGTCAGTCCGTGGTCTCCACTCAAGCAATTTTTTTGTCCAACTGTCGTCTTTCATTCTTGCAACATGTCCTACCCATCTCCATTTTTGCCTTGTAATATGTTCGATAATGTCTTCCACTCCGGTTCGTCTACGAACTTCCTCGTTTCTTATTCTATTTCTTAAGCTTATTCCAAGCATTGATCTCTCCATCTTTCGTTGTGTCCTCAATTTTTCGGCTGATGTTTTTGTGAGAGTTAAGGTTTTTGCTCCGTATGTGAGGACTGGTAGAACGCACTGGTTAAAAGCTTTTCTTTTTAAATGGATCGGTATATTTGTTTTAAATACATCTCTCATTTTTCCGAATGCAGGCCAACCCAGACTTATTCTTCTGAGTAGCTCGCATGTTTGGTTATCTCGCGTTAACCTTTTTTCGTGACCCAAATACACATATTTTTCCACAAGTTCTATTTTCGACTTTTCGATTTCTATTAGCTCATTGGGGACTAGGTTGGTCATCATTTTTGTTTTTCCATAGTTTATCTTTAAACCGACTTTCTGGGTTACTTGCTGTAGTTGTTGTAGAATAACTCTGGCTTCTCCTAAGTTGTCTGTTATGAGAACAATATCATCGGCATATCTGAGATGATTGAATATCTTTCCATCGATGCTAATACCCTTTGATTCCCACTCTAGCCGTTGAAATGCGTACTCCATAACTGTTATAAATAGTTTTGGCGACAAGGTATCTCCCTGCCGCACCCCTCTGCCAATTTTTATCGATGCTAATACACTTTGATTCCCACTCTAGCTGTTTAAATGCATACTCCATAATTGTTATAAATAGTTTTGGCGACAAGGTATCTCCCTGCCGCACCCCTCTGAAATTTTTTATCTTCTCAGTCAAGCAAAGGAGGTTAACGGTTGTTGTCGCATTTTCGTATATATTTCGAATAATATTTGCATACCTGTGATCTATTCTGCATTCTGATAGTGCTTTTAAGATAGCAACTGTTTCGACTGTGTCAAATGCTTTGTGGAAGTCGTCAAAGATAAGAGCAAGGGGTCTGTTATATTCGATAGACTTTTCAACTAGAGTTTTAAGGCATTGCAAATGGTCGTTTGTTCCGTGTCCCGCTCGAAATCCTGCCTGTTCTTCTGATTGATAGAAATTGAGTTTTGCTTCTAATCTGTTTGTCAGTATTCGAGTAAAGAACTTGTATAGGTGATTAAGCAAACTAATTGGCCTATATATTAATTAATATATTAGATATAGATTAATAATAGGTTTATGGATAATATGGACATCTCGCCCTGTATCATTTATGAAGCATAATAACTCATTTAGAATAAATTTATATTAACTACAATTGATTTATTTTTATTTACTTATAAACGGGAGAACCCCTTTTTATAAATTAGTTTCAAATATAAATATAAAAAATCCCAAACTAACTATATTAAACAATATTCAAAATAATATACAGTAAAGTCATATAATTAACTATCATAAACATGAATACATTCAAAACAAAAATATGGAATCTACAAATCATTTAAAGCTATGTTGTTATAATTTTTAAAACCAGACAAAAAAGTAACATTAAAAGCTATTGCAGTATCTTTATCCAATCTGCAATACCAAAATTATTTGATTGTCTAGTTACCAAGCAGATTTCTTGGATGTGTAAGAGTCTTATATGTCAGGGGCAACATGGCTTCTCCAAAAACAAATCAACTTTGACTAATCTATTAACCTGTCAACTGTCAACATATTCTAAACAACATTGAAAGCAGAAAGCAGACTGATTCAATTTACACAGAAGGCGTTTGATCCTGTTGATCAGGAAATACTGTATACTAAGCTGATTTTGAATTGGGTTCAGCCCAAGTGGAGAAGCTGGTTGCATTCAAAGAGTTAAAATAGGTTGTTATTTTTCTGAGGAAATTGTTGTCACATCTGCAGTTCCACAGGGAGGCCATAGTTCTCCTCTCCTATTTGAGAACTATTGAAAGTATTTCAGATTAGGATCTGGTTCAGGAGGACTTAAATTGTTTGTCGGAGTGGTACCAAAAAAATAAGCTATATTTGATGATCAACAAATGCAATTTTATAAGTTTCTCTAGGAAAATTACTAGACTTGAGTCAAGTTACTTTATTCATAACCAGCCACTAAAATACACATTTACAGTAACAGATCTGGGTGTAATTTTCGATAGAAATTAACTTTTCTCGATTATTCATTAATTCTATATCAATTAGGAGCTCAAAGATGCTGGGCTTTATTACTAAAAATTCTAGTTTTTTCTCCATTGCAGCCACAAGAATGGTCTATTGTTCTTTGGACAGATCTATGCTGTAGTACTGTTCAGTCACATGGTCGCCTTATTGCCAGATACATTCTGATTCCTTAGAGAGGGTTCAACATAAATTGAGCTTGCCTGCTTTTACTGTGAGGGGGATTTGTTTGGTTTAACTTTGATTTTAAATTAATAATTGCTAAAATTGGTTGTCCCTCTCCTGTGAGTCAGATTGGACTTAGAGTCCCATATTACCGTGGTTTGTGTCTTTAATGTTCCATTTGCAATCTATGGTGCTAATAGCACACTGATATTTAATATGTCTCTCAATAAATATATAAATACTTGTAGAAGAGTTACTGGCACCTTAGAGTGTGGAAACTTAACTTGATTGTAATAATACTTTATGTTTTTATTGTAACTAGGTAATACTTTATATATTTTTTTTTATTTTTAATGTTTTTTCCCTCTTTTTAGTGCTGGATCTTATCTGCTGGGTTTATGTTTTAATATTTTATTATACATATATTTGTGTATATGGGTATATATCTATATGTATATGCATGTGTATGTTTATATTTCTTTTGTTGAATGTTATTGTTCAAAAAGGGCAAAGATAGTCCAGTACAACAAATACCCCATTGTACACCAATCAAATTTTTTAATTGTATTGTAATTTTGAAAAAAAAAAGAACTGAGTTAATAGTAAATAAAAAAAAAAAAACAAATCTGAATTGTCAACACCGCAACTGTCAAATGGTCCAGGAAATAAAGCTCGAAAAAAGTTAAAACCTCGCAATTTTTTCGTCCTGCATGGATTGAGTTGAAATTTTAACAGAAGGTACAGTAGGTAACAGAAGGTACAACATTGCAGTTTTTATAAACTAATTTAATAGATATAAAGTAGAATTAAATAGAAAAAAATTTATCAACATAAAAAGGCACCATATATTCTTATACATTTACATAAATAGTTGAAAATATTTACATTTATAGGTAAAACAATTATATTAATTTCATTCGTCATCAATTACATCTTCATCGTGATCTATGTTATCCTCATCTTCTTCAATTATTGGTGGACTATTATTGCACCCTTCATCTGAGCACCCGAAACAAGTAGAGTTACAGTATAAACCAATTTTTCTGCACATAAAACGCCGCATCCTTTTTTGCATTGGCATAAAATAATTTTCAACAGTTCATCGGGTGCATGTTGTTTGTTCATGCGTACGGGTAATAACAAACCATCTTTGGAATACCATCCCCAATCTGTTGCTCTGATATTTTCATTGCCAAGCCACTGTGGAATTTGGTAATAGCGTTCATGTGATAGAAACTCCAAAATAATATGTACGAATAATTCCTACAATCATAAAAGTATATATAAAAAGAATAGCTCAAGCACTTTAAATAAAAAATATAATGAATTTTTTATCCACTAACCCGTTTATTTTCACAATTACAATAAACAAAACTGAATAATTTTAAAAATATTGTCAGCGCACGTGCTACTTCTTTTAAACTTGAGAAAACACTGACGAGGAACCAACGAAATATACACTCACACACGTAGACATATGAGCAGATTATGTTTTATTCTGTTATATGGGATTTCAAAATAAGAACTATTATTCTTCTACTAGAATAAGAAAATAAGAAATAAGAATAGTTAGGGGGTTGTTTTCATCGATTTTTTCGTAAAAAAATGAGGTATTGACCTTATTTTCATCATAACTCACTCAATTTTTGAGCTAGAGTCTTTTTTTTATGATAGGTCTATTTATGCTCTTTAAAAAAAGGTTCTATGAGTTTTCTTCCAAAAATGCATCATTTTCCCGATATTTGACTTTGAATCTTTCAAATTTGGCATTTGAAGAAAACCGCTGAACATTGATAGGCCGTATTTCGGTTCCTATTATATTGCAAAAACATTTTAAAAAATGAATTGTATTTGTCTTTTTAAAAGCTACAAATTTGTTCTCTTCAATTTTTTTGGTAAATGCACTATTTTCGAGTTATTCTCGAAAAATCGATTAAAAACGTCCATTTTTCATCGAAAAGTTGTTACTTTCAATCGCGAATAACTTGAAAAATATCAGTTTTACAAAAAAAATTTATAGAACATTTTTTGTTTAGAATCACTTTTTTAATCGAAACCTGTGGTTTTTTTTTTCCTGAAAAATGGCTTTGGCAGAGCCAATTAGCCAGACTTGTTTGTGTTGATTGTTAAAATCGACTGAATTTTAATTATTATAGATTGCAGATTCATAGTCAAAATTTTCTTATCAGATATCAATGTTATTACTACATACCTATATCCAATATTTTTATAGATACATAAATTTTGTTTTGATATATTTTTATTTTGTTTTTTATTTTTTTGTTTTCTTGTTTTTTTTTTGTTTTGGTTTCTCT